AAAGAAGGGTTGACGGCTTTCGGTGAGCACATTAGAGTAGTCGGCACGGGACGCGAACGAGGTCGGACGACATTCCCAACCCACGTGCGCGGCTCATCAATCAGCATCCAGTTTACTTATCTCGTTACCGCGGCCGCAAGTTGGCCCATAATGTTAGGTGTGCCCATCGCCCACTACTTGTACACTCGGAAGCCGTTACCATACACTAGCACGGTTTTATTTGCTCCGTCTGTATGCATAAGTAACTTCCGATTCGACTTGAACCATCTCCAGGCAACTGAATAATTGATAACGACTCACGCGGCATTGTTATCTAATGAACCGGCTTTTGCATGACTTGTTTTCTCTGCTAGTTGTATAGTAATTATTCATTTAATTATTTAGTACCTGAAGGACAGGGCTTTGCTCGGTTTGTTTTTTTTTTGGTAAATCGTGTATTTTGGAAATAACATTTAGATACAAATTACTGAGTAATGAAATATGCATAATATTTTTCGATCTTACCGACGTAATAATAATAAAATATGAACTGGTGTTTTTCACAAGGAAAGAACTAAAAAATGGAAAAAAGATTAAAAAAAATACTATCTATATATATATATATATATATATATATACAGCGTGTCGTTACCATCGCGACAATAAATGAAAACACATATAGGGGATAACTTTTTAAAGTTGTATTAAACATTTAAATTCTTTAAACATCAATATTTACAGAGTTATTAAATTTTCCAAAACAAAGAATTTTAGAACACCCTTACCTATAAAAGCGTAACGTAAAGTTCATTTGTAAAGGTCACAAAGCATATGAATGGGTTGAATGAATTTAAAAGAGACAAAACATACTGTTAGAAGGAGAGGCTTGTAATACGACGCTGTGGCGCGAGTTATATAGGATGTTACAAATTTTGTTTCTTTTTTACTTAATTAGTTTGTTTGAAAAATATTTTTTTTTAATTATGGATTTTCTTTAACGTTAATATTTTTTTATGATTATTGGCAAGTAGCGTTAGACGGGTGTTAATTTATTGTCGCGATGGTAATGACACGCTGTATATATATACAAGAATTGCTCGTTTAAAGGATAAGATTAGATGGAAATCATTATAAGTGGGGTTGTAGATGCGCTATCGCTATATATATATATATATATATATATATATATATATAACATATAGGTACTATTTACGTAGTACGCACGCACCACCTGATGTTAAGTGGATGCCGCCTAATGGACATCTACAGCACCTGAAGGGCTTGCAGCAGCGTTGACAAACTTTAAAAAAGTGGACTCCGATTACCTCACTCACCAGACGAAAAGTTCCAACTGAAGTTGTACTTCCACTTGAGTTGGAACGTTTACATTCTTGAACTTCCATTTCAAGTCGGTTTTCTGTGAGGCCGTAGTACTTCCAGCGGAAGCTGTTCGTGGCCCTACCAAAAAGGTTCCCATTGGCTTGGTTTGGGACTAGACGTTGTGTTATAGGTCCAGAATTATTTAAAAAATTATGTATATAATCGGCACGATATAACTTTTCATGCGCTTTCCTTCATTTTTTGTCGTATTTCAATTTTCCTTGATATAAAAGTCTCGTATCACGAATATTATGTTTCTATTTGCCTTTGAGCTTGGTAACCACACAATTTCTGCGTCAGCCGAGCACTAAGCGACCACGCACTCAAGATTTCCATTAAGAGCGCTTCGAGGAAACATATTGGATATGAAGTCGGTGCATCGGCCGTTTACACAACAATGGCTTAGTGACTGCGATGTGTGACTTGAGACCAAAAGGTCGTGTGTTCGAATCCGATCGTCGTTCACTGATAACTTGTCCGCTTTTTCAGATTCTTAAGAAAAAATCATCGTTTTACATTTGTGCCCGGAGCAACAACCCTCATCCGTCATCCCGTCCACCTAGTTTCCACAAAAATAAATTTGGATTCTTAATGACGTTTCAGATAAAAATTAACAGTAGCTTAAAAGAACAAAAGTCAAACATAACCGCGCGAATAACTGATAACTTTACGAAAGAAAACGGTCTACATTGAGATCTATCCGAGAGTCTGCAATATGTTTTATAACTACACGTCATAATATAAAACTGTTTTTACTAATGTATCGCGTATGTTTTAAACAATAAGTTCCCGACGTTACGATAGTTCTGTTCAGACGCTTCCCTACACCGTCCGTCACCAGAGAAACGGTTTCGTTAAAAGTCCGAACGTCATCCGCATTCGGTGATAGACAATAAAGAATACCGTCACCGCTTCTCCGATCAGAAACCATCTACAATTTGGGGGATACATAAAACAGCTGAATACGGATACATACAACAGCAGAACACGGGGGATATTCTGGCATTATTTCGTCGATTCGGAATTCCGTCGCCCGAACGTCGGCAGCACCTAAGCATAACACCAGAATATCGCCCCATTTCGGAATCCCGTCGTTCGCGTATCGGTCGCAGCCGAATTGCGGCACACATAGCGGACGCGTCGATAATTACGGGCATAATCAGCGAATATGCTCAGCCACGTGCTTCGGATGGTTTGCGTATGCCTGATTCGCTTGTTGTTATCTAATTAGCTTGCTGTTGTGTTTGTTATCAAGGAACCTTGTCAAACTGCGCGGCTAAGTTTTCCTTTTTGCCCCTCTACCTACAAGATGAGCATTTACATAATATAAAAACGCGTTGTCTGTTTGTTACTGTGTGCATTTGTCCATTTTTCTGGTGTTACGGAAATAATAATAAAAAATAACAATTAAATTTTCAGGAGAAATTTTAACCAAACTTTATCTATAAACATATATATCTATAATATTTACATCCAGCCACAAACTAAGCATAGCTTAATATATGCAAGTTAAACATGCTTTTCTTTTGCAAATAAATAAATATTATAGACGGATAATGCACCCAGACACCAGCAAATTGCCATGTTCATCAATATAATTCCAGTAGTGAAGATCGAACGTTGTCATTGTAAAATATTGTTGCCATTCGTGTATTCAGTGGTAGTGGCACGCAAGTGTTGCACGCTGTTGCACGAATGGGCAGGCACGTCACAGAAGACGCGTGAAGTGTTATATTCATGCGTTTCCTCTGCTAACCGGTGCCCAAATTATAATAAGGTGGCAAGGCATCTGCAATCCTACAGGTACTGAACATTGGCGACACTTATCACTTAAGATCATACTCAGAAAATTCCACTTTCCACCTTCTTTAAGATTGAAGATTGACAAATTAGTCAGTCTCTTGGTACGATTTTGCTCTAGAAATAAATCTGGTCAACGCCATTCTTTTTCGAGTATATAAAAATGGTGTCTGCACATATTTAGTATACCTACATAGCCAGCAAATTCGATGTGAAGCTAATATTCCATATATATCGTTGCAGGCATATAATACGATTCAAAGTGATTCGCGCCGTTACTGTTACTTTATTTACTTCAACCGTAATATGAATTATCCTATTCCGTAGCATCTTTTAATGGGTTCATTTTTCTTCTTACTTCCAGGCAAGGATGTAAAGTAATCCATTTGTTCTATTTAACCTCTTACCGTGGATGGTTATAATAAAGTACACGAATCTCCAAGCGGTGCGGCATCCATTACTTTTTAAGTGGGGGCGGATCGCTAATGTTTGGGTCAAAGCGACGCATTGAATTATTCACAACGCCAAGCTGCCACCGCGCGGGACGAGACCGAGTTTAGAGCTCGTACATTGTTCCTTTATAATGTCGAAGAGAGTCGAATGACCGACGTCCAGACGGAGTTTACGAGCATACCACACAAGTCCATAATAATGTTAAATCTAATATACCTAATCAAATCTTGAAAATCTAACCTATATAACCTAACTTACCTAACCTGTAACAAAATTTAACAATTTTAGGTGTCGGTGCCATTGTTCACCATAGGTAAAGGTTGCACACCATAACACCTTGCTAAAATATAGATATTTCAAAGAGTTCCGTTGCTATCTCCATCTCCCTAATTCATCACCAAATCTATATGAAATTTATTAATGACCATTTCGGAAATGGGACCATTTCGGAAATGGGACCCTTTCGAACCAAAACACAATTTTGCTAATCCGTATATATGGCGAAATTATGCCCGACAATACATTAAAAAAATATAAACATCCGAATTGATAACCACCTTCTTTTTGAAGTCGATTAAAAACTAAGAACTAAACCTTGTGTACTGCACAAATTGCTTCACAAATGCCTTTGAATTCTATTTTATCATCCCTACGATAAGTTTCCAGGCGAGGTTTTCCATCACTATTCAATTAAAGATTTGATGTGTAAACGTTTACATAACGGAAACCGGCTAAGTGCGGGTCGATTCGCGCACGAAGCGTTCCTATTAAAATGATAAAAAAACATTAAGTCAGTATATTACATTTGTCTTCGGTAGAAATAAGGATATTGACGTTAGTAAAGCCCTCAGAGAGACCCCACTAGGACTTTCATGTCACTGATTGCTCCGACACGGAGCCTGTCCCCCGAATAACTAACTACGGCCGAATTCGTCCGCGTCCCATTAAAATATGCGAAGGTTATTCATCAAGCGTTAGAACTAGTGGCGGGGCCATGAATAAATTAAAAAGTCCGGCACTCGATTGGCCCTGCGGGGCGGTCGGGTTTTATTCTGAATAATCACGATTTCGACTATGAGAAAATGTTTCAACGTCTGACATTTTTAAATTCATAAACGTTTCCCTCGGTCTTATAAATTTAATTATTCAAAACAAGCCCCTAATTGAGATGACACGTCCAACGTAAACAACACGATTACTTATTTTCTAATTAGCTCAATTTCAGTTCGTCTTCTTTATCTGTTTCACTTCCTTTTATTTAAGTTATCGTATTTCATATATTTATTTCACTTGAGTACTCTTTGCACTCAGTTGGTGAAAAAACAGACAGTTAGTCTCCAGTTTAAAATGTATACACGGCTTCAACGTGGTTGTGTATTTGACATTTAACTATTGCCAGTTAAATTCCGCGCCGAAGCCTGGTCCACGTCATTCGCCGTACCGCCGAGGAGCGCCGTGAATAAATCAGCTGACGGCACCTCTGATCCCTTAAATAAGTACGCTCTCGTGTGTGAAATATCGAGTGCGTCCAAGACCGCGCCCTGGCGTGCGTTGGTGTGGCCGCACTCTGTATAGTTTTGCGTGTCTTGATTGTGCTATCTGTTGTTGGACGGCAAAACAAAATGATTGTTATTCTTAATAGTTTCTTAAATCTACCTAAATAAACACTGAGGTGAGATGGCTTTCCCAAAAAGCCTTTATTAAAGTGTGGATACTTTACATTACTGATTGAAACATTTCTAAAGCGACTCCTAAAGTTCAGGCTAATATATTGAAAGTTCACCCGAGCGCAGCCGATGAAACGCACACCAACTCATCGGAATTCAGGGGGTGTACGACGAAGAGCGACACGCACCTCGCCCATCCCTCAGTCGAATCCCGGGGCCCGTATCGCCCCAAATGGACAATCCGACCTGACCGCCCACGCGACTCTCCACGCACCATACGTCTCTCGAACTAAATCCCGGAATATGCAGCCCCCGTAAGTATTTTAAACGCTATTAGAGAAACCATAAACTTGCATCTTAGAATACTTGGTACAACGCGTTCGTTGACTTTACCATTTGTGAAAAATAACCATAAATATGTACACTCAAACCCGTGTTGATGAAACGATATTTGCAAGTATCACACGTGATATTACTATAGGTAAAGTACAGTAACTGACTATACATTTCCCACTGGTGGGCAAAGGCCGCCTATGTACAGAGAGTATTAGGACTTTATCTGCGGATTGGCAGACTTTATCTTCGACATCACCCAACTAGCTGACGAGAATCAAGAACATGACGTCACTCAAATCGAATATACATAACATGTCACGCCGAATGTGAATCAATTCTTAAACGTACACCCCGGAGGCAGAGATGGGGAAGGGGGGAAGGAAGCAAGGAGGGTTCAATAAACCAATTAAACCATAGAAGTAACCGAAAGCAACCCGCCGTTAACCAAATACGGGGCTATGGTCGATGTACGGCGATCGGACACGCTTCCTCTATAAAAAAAATTAAACCCATAGATTGAATGAGTAACGGTCGACGTTATCGAACGACCGACGTGTGTTGAACGCGCGTATGTTAGATTAATAAGCAGTACTCGCTTCACCGGTAACTTGTGTCATTGGTTAATTGAGTTAAGTTTAAATGAGTTGATCTCTTAAGGGAAAGAAGTAAACAATCGAGCAGTTCGCGGCCAAATGCCACTAATGGATGACCATTATCATATACCAGATTGGGTATGAACCCAATATCAGTTTAACCCACATATAGAAGATTGGCTGCCATCCTTTAAGACGGTCTCACCAAAGAGCCTGGTAAGGTAAAGGCACACGGAATTGCAGAAGCGGCGGCGTAACTTAGCCGCGTAGGACATTTAAATGATATTGTTTTCAAAATGTGAATTTTTTTATATAGATGGACAAAAGCCTTCGGGGCTGTTGTAATTCGTTCCAGCGTATTTCGGTAATTGAGGTACTGTTCATCATTCGTTTCAATTTATTTTATTTAATATTTTAATGGTAATTAAGTAACTATTTATAGAAAGACCAAACACATATGATGATAAACTCTATCCGATAAAATTATAACAGACATTACTCAAGCGTTGCACCAATTACTGATTAGACAGACGTACAATAAAACCTAAGCTTCGTAATGATATTTAAACCGAGAATGAGATTCCGTTGCGAACAGCTTTGATCCTCCGAGCGTAACGGTTATTATGCGACAGGATAGACCATTGAAACTTAAGAGCGGAGACACCCTGTGGCCTACTTACCGAGACACGAACACCCACTGGGGTGAGACGAGTGGCTGGCGCCACGCACTAGGTCATTTGCATTCCCCAGCATCGGCGTGCTAGACGATTACTATGCGTAAGCGTTTTCGATAACCAAGAGACCTGAAGAATCTTTGTACGGTCGCTCAATGCTTCCTGAGAGGTGTGTATTTGAATCCCAGTATAGTCCTTTTTACCTTATTCCAGGTCATGGGCACAAATATCTTTACGACAGTTTGGAAGCCTTAAGTACTTGTATTGTAAGAATCGTCTGTATTGTCATACTAAACCCACTGTTGGACATCTACATCTTAGTCTAGCAGTCATTAATCTATATGCTTTACATTAAAGCGGAAAGTGACAAGCTTATAACAGCTTGAAACTTATTAACATTTATTTAGAGCTGACAAAATTGTTATCTGCTGGCTTATCTTTCTTTTATATGAGAAGTTGGCAAGAGAGTGGGCGGTTCACCTAACCTTAAGTGATTACCGCCTCTCATGGACATCTACAACACCTGAGCGGTTGCAGATGCGTTGCCAATCTTTATAAAAGTGGGCCCCGGCTACGTCACTCAGCAGAGGTAACGCGAAAATATAATACATGACGGCGTACATCTGTATAGCTATATCGCCACGAATACCATAAAATTAGTCACACATAGTATAAAACAAAGTCGCCCCGCTGTCTGTCTGTCCCCATGTATGCTTAGATCTTTAAAACTACGCAACGGATCTTGATGCGGGATTTTACTAGATAGAGTGATTCAAAAGGACGGTTTATACGTATAATACACTAGCTGCTGCCCGCGACTACGTGCGTAGAATGGGCTGAAGGCGTAGCTGCGGCGGTTTTAGTTTATAATAAAGGATTGATGAGAACGACATACGTAAGTATAATGGAGCTAATGTCAAATACCTTTCGCTAGTAACAAAATCTATCTGTAGATAGAATATAGAAAACAGCCGTTATTCCATTTAGTGTCTATAGGAACTGTGCCGAGTTCCAAACATCGGAAATATTATAGCAAATGACATGCGATCATCTATAAGCCATTAATGGCTGTATAACAGCCTGTATAAAATAACTTTCATTTTTACACTGAAATAAAAACAAAATAATAAAGAATTATAGCATACATTCGGACAGTATTAAAAAATCGTACGTATTTGTCTATTTTACATAACGAATCAAAAAATGAAAATCTAAAAGCCGTTCCATTTAATTGGTATTTGGCCGTGAATTATTTACAATATTAAAATGAAACCAAGCAACACGAGATCCGAAATTGCGGCGCGCGTCTAACAAAGCTCTCGGTGGCTCCCGGGCACAGATAAAGGAGGCTGGGCCGGGCCCCGTGGGAATGTCGTCTAAGACTTTCGGTCCTCCTCTCCTTTATTATTGCATCATCCCGTATACAGGCAAATGTTAAGGCACATAGGAACTCCCTTTAGGCAAGCCTCGTATTAAAAGTAAACGTGAAATTAGTTACGCGATTATTAATAATTGAAAGGGTTATGTACTCTGCTAAATAATTTATAACAGTGAATACTTCAGTTATAATCACACAAGATCATCCGGTGATCCTAATGGAGTGCGCAAAGGCGTAAATAGCATCCAATTTAAGCCTAGCTTTCTTTAACTAAACGTCACAATTGATGAATCTGCCGCGACTAAGGCATTACAATAACAGAATATTATACGAATCGGTACACACACTCGGCATTGAACCTACAACTACTACTATTCAGTAACAATTACAGAGTGTATTTTAATACACGGATTCCAATAACGGATATTATATTCAGTTTTTACAATTTATTTATTTATTTATTTGTAATAGGTATGAGAATTGATCTTATATTAACCCCATTTACCGTATCAGTAACTTCTTACTTTTTTTCGAGAATATCCGTAATATTAATTTTTTACATCACACCCAATCGAGGTCTTTTTCTGAATCTTAATAATTGTCAAAAGTAGTAAAAACCAACCATTTCATCGTTCGCTTACGTAATAAAAAAGAGGCAACTAAGAGTTGAACGTCGCCTGTCTCTAATATAAAACTTAAAAAACGTAACAGTGGAGAAATGAACCGAAACGTCTGTATTTTCCGACGCAAGATATATTATCTTTCGTTTGCCATACTTCATTCCACAATGAACGTTAAATAATAATCATTACCGTGCTCGAAAATGTTGTTACAAAATTTATTATACTGGGTCTCAATATTGAGTCATTTGTACCAGAATTTTTAAATAAAATAGGTAGACGTAAAATTAGTTAAAGATAGGGAAAAATTATGTAGCCAAATTTATTATGTCTTGATTTTTGATTGAAAATGGCATTGGAAAGTTTTAAAAAAATTAACTAAATTACCTCTTGCTGTGCCACATCTTTCATCTTTTAAACCATTCGTCCTTTAGGTTGTCATTCAATAAACGAATAGCTCGACATCGTTACGTTATTACATTATATTTACGTTGATAAAACCCTTCATGAACTATCATTCACTTGAGCTTCTCTTAACGTTACTCTTAAAATATCAAGAACAAAGCGGCAGTTAAAAGACAACTAAATTTCGGTTCATTCCGGTTTGATTTTCGTTTCAGTTAGTTTCCTGACGTGATTTACTAGCCGTAACATATTAAAGGTTTTTGAAAAATTGCGAAAAATAAAATGACGGCCTTGAATATGTATGTCACACTGCTGGGCAAAAGCCTCCTATGACATAGGCACTATCATTCCTGTCGCGAATTACTAGACTTCACATATATTCGAAACATAACTTTATTTGTTATTTCGAAAATATGCAAATATCAAAAAGAATCGTGTTTCCTCACAATGTTTTCCCTTCACCGCACAGCACGATATGAAAACACGTAAAAATGCAATTATCGATTTCTTCGCGGCGCTTGCACCGGAGCACCGGGAACTCTGTTTGCTCGTCTACTTTTTAATTTGGTAAAAACTAGCGCCCGGACACAAAGTTATGTCGAAAAGAAAACGTACGTCGCATATAAAACCGACCCTCGATGCACTGTCAGTTGAAAGTTCATCAGTACCGCCAACATTCGGAGCGCACGAGCGGAATCGAAAACTACATTTCGCCGACGACAATTTAGTGCGCTATTTCCGCCAACAGATGGCGCCGCTGGGGCGCAGATTGCCCTAATCTCCTGCCGTCATTAGAGCCTTAATAATGCCTCCGATGAAATGTTTAAAGATAATGTATATTTGTATATAGGGCGATAGGAAATTGCCTAGTTCAAGCCCGGGGAGGCAACTGTATTGCTTAGTCTGTGTCACATTATTGTGAAATAAACGCATTAATATTGTTTGAATGGAATAGCGTTGAGCAGATTTTGATAATTAACATTTTATCAATAAAAGTGTGCAAGTATAAAAAAAAGCAGAAAACATAAAAAACATATCATTGTACAACTGTAGAAAATACAATTTAAAGTGAGCCCCTGGATAGAAGAGTAGTACGACCACTGAAAGTGTGAACATTTTTGTTATGAAATAATTGCAATTCAAATTTTGGCTTAAAAATGATAAAACATTAAAAGAATCTTTTATTTAATAACTTATGCCGCATGTCTTTAAAAATGAAACACTTAACATGAACAATAATAGTTTGTTCTTATTATAATACCTAATAGCAATGTCATCAGGAAATTCATTAAGGACAAAATAATGCACAATAAAAAAATATAAAATAGTCAACTGTTAATTTTAAAAGGTTTCATTAAACAATTAATAATAGAAGTATATCGTGGTATGTCTGGCACTAGTTTTTACATCAAAAATAATTTTATTTCATACATGAGTTAAAATTGAAGCTCTGAGTAACTAATTTAAAGGTAAACATGAAAAACAGGAAATATGAAATATTAGATGAATTAATATGAAAGAAAGAAATACAATAAATATAAATTTATCACGGTCTAACCACAATATAAACATAACAAATTTATAAATAAAATTATATGTATTCATATAAAAGAAGGAAATACAATAAATATAAATTTATTCACGATATAGGTACCCACAACAGATACATAAAAAACATAAAAAGTCCAGTAAACGAGGAAACAGGAGAATAAATACCCGTATATGTAATAGAATTAATAATAATAATAGCTGTTGGCTTCACGTGTGGTAGAAGTCCATGGGTTGACCTGATGATTTTGTATTTATATTTTGTGTGGCAGAGGCTCGGTAGTTAGCTCCAACGACCATTGAGACCTAGAAGATCTATTTTAGTCTTCCCTTTTAAAACATTGCCCCCTTACCGTAGGATCACATTATCCCGTCTTGTAAGAACGTTTTACATACATATATTTCACACGGACGAACACCCGGATCCGAAACAGTTATCTGTGGGTCACACAGGTAGTCGTCTCGTGTGGGAATCGAACCCGCGACCCCAGTGCTAATACCTTAGCAACTGCGCTAAGTCATCTGATGACCTGATGGTTACGAACGCCCAGAAAACATCCGCATCACGGGTAAAAATGACGGCTTATAAAGTTCCGATTTAACGTGGGTACAGTCAGCTCGTAAGTTTGCGCGCTACGCGTCCGCCGTTTGTTTCGCAAGTACAGACAGACGACCTCCCATCGGCCTTCCGATGCATATTCAGGCGACGTCTCCTGAGCGACGCGGCCGAACTTCGAAATGCCGCGTCGCGCCTCCAACTCGCGTTTTGGGAATACCACTGTACTGTACGTACACCGTTTCGATTTCGATGCGAACGGGCTTCTGTCGATTCCTTTGTCGTTTTATCACGAACAACTTGACGCTAGATAGGAATATGAGACGTGAACGAAAAGATGCAGACGGTAGCGTCCCGCAGCGTGGCTTTGTACATGGCCGGCGTACAAATCAGGATACTCCTGATTTAATAGAAAGAAATACGATCTCATTCTAATGATGTTTTATTGGAGATACCGCATGTCCATACTGCGCGGCTTTTAAAAATTGTTCCGTTTTTCATCATTATATGACATAACAAGTGTATGTGACAGATGATATAGAACGTATGATACGGAAAGAGATAGCAGTCTT